TTATAAGAAACCGTGTTTTTTTTTTTTTTTTTTTTTAAAAAAAAATGTTTTTTTTTTTTTTTCAGTTATAAGAAAACATGTTTTTTTTAGAAGATATTAACCCTTATAAGGCTCTTGATCAAATGAGGGAGTGTAGTTTTATCTTCTAAAAAGTACAAAAATATTATTTTATTTCATTTTTCATTTAAACTGTATCATTATAGAATGACATTTTAAGTGCATTATTGTTGTAGTAATGAATGTAGTATGATGTGGGTGAGTAACATTTAAGATTGTAGAATTTTTAAAGTTTTGTTGATATATCAGATTTGTTTTTTATAAAGGAGGGTAATGGTCACTTCAAAGTTTTGGATATCTTGAAAGTAAGGGTTAGGGAACCATACAGATGTCTCATATGTTTGATATAATCTTTTAGCATATGTGCTCAAAATTGTAAGCCCCACCATCATCAGCTGTATAATCTGTTTTAAAAACATCTTAGTAATGTAAAAATTATAACAGGGTACAAAATATAATAATTAGATTTCTTTCATGCAACCATCCAAATTTTTTTTAGTGTAAATATTTGATGAGCTTCTTAAATATCAACAGTATGTTTCACACCAAGTTAGACATTTTGACTTTAATTAAATGGACATCAGTATCAATGCTATCTATATAGTTTCTCTTTTCTTTGTTGGTTCAATTAAACTTTATAATGTATTATATAACATCTAGTTTACAAAATATGTTTCTATTCTGATGTATGAGCTGTAGATATATATACAATATGTATCTTAATATTCAGCACACTGAAAGTACGTGGATTCTCATTATTCTGGGTTCCTTAATGTTCATTCCGGGTGGATATCATGTGGGAATTGTTTATTATGCATACTGCAGCTATCCTGGATATTCCTATGATGATATCCCAGACTTTGATTAGTACTAAAATGTGAGTATAGAATTAATTTTTTGGCTAAAATTTACAATTACTTGTGAATAAACCTGAATTAGTTGATTATAATATAGTTCTTAAAAATATGTAATATTTATTTTTAAAATGTTTTATATTTATATGTGTGTGTGTGTGAAAACGTTTTTTTTGTAGTTAAATTTTTAAAACTTACAATCGCTGAAAAGGTTTACACACACAAATATACATTATGTACGTTGTTTTAACCTTTATATGATGTGGTTATTTCAAACTGATTATAAGCTTAATATTCGACAAATTTTGTTTGCTAATATATTCTAGCTTGAACTAACAGTTTAATATTTGACAATCGTGGAAGTGAATTCTACTGATTGTCCATTTCTTTTATTTATTAGTATTGTATTAAGTATGACATTATGTTATTAGATATCAGTGTAACTCTGAAACACAAAATATTATTTTCTTACCAAATGAATAATTACATATAATTTTTTTATTTAATCTATAATATATTTATTTTTATCCATATTATTTTTATTGAATATTGGAATAAATCAGTTACATGTTATGTCCAAAAATTATAGAAATGCAATAAACCTTAAGACATTTTGTGTTACTTCTAACAAATTATGAAGCATGGTTGTCTAAAAATATTTTAATTTTTATAAAGAATTTATATAGCATTTATGTTTAAATTTTTTCTAAGTGTACAAAAGCAATAAATTTGTCAACTTAAAATAGTCGCTAAGAATGTTTATCTGTGTTTGTTGGAGGTAAACAAAGATTAAGGACAGTCTACCAAACATCTTATGAACAGTTTATTGTGGTAAAATAAATTTTACATCTTTTCTAGAGACATCTTTTACCAGTAACAGTACCTTTTGAAGAATAACATTTTTGGTTTTTGTCATTAAGTTATTAAAATTTGATAAAATGTTTTTCACACGTTCTTTTAAATATTTTTTAAATATAAAATAACATTTGACCTAACTGAATGAAATTTTAATTATATTTGACTTATGTAATTTTGTGATGCAAAGTAATGCATGTATTTCAAAAAAGACCAACTCTAGGTAATGTTTTGCAGTGTGACTCAAATACACGAGTTTTTTTTTTTTCACATATCAAGAAATGCATTATTAACGGGTTATGAGTAATAAAATGTCTTATTAGCTATTGAAAGCTATAAGTTTGTTTCATGTATTTGTTGGATTGCACACTAAGTTATCAAATGCAAATTGTATCAAAGATAGGAGGTGGGAGTAATAGGCATAATAGTGACAGCTGGTATATTAGATTAGGCTAAGGTAATATTGTAGCCAGTTATGTTTAAACATTCTTATTTGAAGTGTAATGATCTTTGACTTCTCCAGCATAAGTAAGAAGCCTGAAAAAGAAGTACAATAACTTCATAAATGTTTAGGAGTATGTCACTTTATAGTCATTACCTTACATGACATAATGTGGTGATTGTGATTTTTGATGTCTATATATAGGTATAATACAAAATGGATCATCCCTAAGCTGAGAAAAATGATGGTTTTGGTGTTTAATTACAACAATTTTGCTGTCACTATGTCTGCAAGAACTAAAATATTATACATTACTTAGCAGCAGAAGAAAAAAAGACAGTAGTACTTTATGAAATTAGGTTTTGGATGTACATTAAATGAAACATTTACATGTGTAAAAATGCAAATTTTCTTTAACATATATTAGAAATAGGAAAAGCAACATATTTATTAAATAATAATCTACACTAGGTTAAGACATGGGTTAAACCTCACTTTTAGTGGAATATCTTGGGTGTAAAATGTGTTTACGAGTAATAGATATTCTGCAGTTTTTAAATACCATTAACATACAATATTTCTTTCACAATTTCAGTGCATAAACTCTTCGGCAGTTAAGGTATTTTTCTATTTATGTATCTGAGGGGTGGGTGTTTTTTGCTTATAAGAAAATTATAATTTTATCCCACAATTTCAGTCTCAATCTACAAAGTTGTGTTTACTTGTTTTTTAATACAAGGATAGCTTATTTTAACTCATTTTTTTATCATAAATATTAATTTTAAAAAATCAAGAACATTTTAGTGCAGAAGTTTACAGAAACATCTTGTTAATTTTGTGTTTTAATTTTTACCACAGGTATGGATGTTGCAACTTGACATCACCTTCCCAAATAGTTAATAAGTGCAATATAATTCTAAAATATGGCTGGTACAGTGTTGTTTTGGAGCACTGAATTTCTTGACCTTGGAGAAATGTACTTTATTGGAAAACTTATATTTGTATAACAAATGTCAAATTATTCATATACTTGGAATCTAGTCTTGCACTATGTACCAATTTTTTCTTTGTTTGAATATTAATGATCATAGAATGTATTTATTAGAAAAGTAAAATCAGAAAATCAAAATGTGAGTAATCTGTTTTCTGAGATTTTTGAATTGTTTTAATTATTCTAAAATGCAACATCTAGATAAAGGATCGGTCGTAACTAAAAATAGATGTAGAGAAGAAAAAATGTTACCTTTTTTTAACTTGTGTAAATTTCTCCTGTAAAAAGCATTATTTCATTAAAGCAATGTGTCACCCAGTCTTGTCTTGTGAAAGTGTCCATTTTATTTCTGGTTTAATTATGAGCACAGGCCAACATAAATTCAGTCTTTATTAATATATTATATATAATTCCAAAGTCTCCATAAAACTTAAAGAAAAGTAATGTTCTGTTTCCCAGTTGAATATTAATTATCTATGGCACACTAATTATTTTAATACCGTTGGTTTAGTTGGGAAGAATGCTACTAAGATAATCTTTTTTACTAATAAATTGCAAACAAAAAAATAATTTATATTTCCTTAAAATAATCATTACAGATTCAAAACTTTGATAGTTAAATCCTCTTAAATTAAACTTACCAAGTTGCTTTTGTTACTGAATTTTTATAATAGCTTGAATTGTTTACTTTCATAAATCACGCACTTAGTTGTTTCTGTTATTCTTACATAATTTCAAGAATTGATGTTTCTGTCATAAATGTATTTCAGTTTTCTCTTTTAATTGAATATTTCACCAATCCATTTCATGTGTGTGTTTAAATGTATTAATATTACACACAACAATTGGTTAGTTTCAGATCTAAAAAACAGCAATTGAATAACAGCATTTCATTAATTTAATTAACTTTTAAAGATCGAAAATTTTCGTATAACAAGGCCTAGTTAAAAACCAATCAGTTGTATATATACACATAAAATGTTTTTTGTTTCTCAATCTTTTGTTCCACTCATTTGAACCTTTTTCAAACTCCTTGTAAGTATCTGCTATTGGAGATTTATTGATTTTAATCTGTACTGATACCGGTAAAACTAACTCCCATGAAAATTTCCATAATGTGTTTTAAGTGCAGAGTTACCTTAGAAATGTACAGCTTTCCATTAAAAAAAAAAGTACTGATGAACTCAAATATAAAGATATTTAACCAAGAGCTTATAAGTCACTAATAGATGTGAATGATAATCTTAGCTCACTAAAAGTGCTCACATTAAGTTCAAAATGACATTTCATGTGATTGTTATTGCTACAGAGAATATATATATATATATATATATATATATTAGGCCGTCAAGTAATTAATGTCGCTTTTTTCTAAGTTGAAAAAAACCTCAACAACTTGTATAACAAAACAGTTATTAAATGATATAGTGTCAGGCTGTTAATGCCCTGATTAAAGAAATCACTTGTCTTTGAAGCGAAAAACATGTCGATGTCCTTATTAACACCTTCCATATTTGCATACGTTTTTCCATTAAATGGTGTTGCATTTTCGATGGTAATCTGATGGTGTCATATATATGGAGAATATGATGGGTGGGGAAGAACTTCCAAACCTAAATCCATAATCTTGTGTTGCGTCAAACGTGCCTTATGAGGACGTGTATTGTCGTGGAGAAGAACCCCTTTCCGATTGACGAGTGAAGGGCGTTTCTGATGAAGGACTTTATTTAAACGTTCCAGTTACTGCTATAGATCTCTGCATTGACAGTTCGCTGTAGATTGAGGAGTTCGAAATGAATTACTCCTTTGATGTCTCACCAAATGCAAACCATCACTTTCTGCGGATGGAGTCCAGGTTTTGGGGTCGGAAGTGTTTTTTGTCTAGGATTGAGCCATTGTTTTTGGCGTTTAACTTTCGCATAGATAATCCATTTTTCATCACCGGTGACAATTCTGTTCAAAAATGGTTCACGCGCATTACGTGCCTGAAGAGACGAAGCAACGTTCACACGTTGAAAACGATGATCATCGGTGAGTTAGTGAGGCACCCAAACACCTTTATGAAGTTCCAATATTCCTTAGATGTTTACGTATTGTTTCATGAGAGACATGCAATTTCACGACCATTTCACGAGTGTGTTGCCTGGGGTTAAACTGAACAAGCGTCTTCAGAGCATCAATATCAATTACATGTCAGCCCCTGCCACCATAGGTTTTAAGGCTAAAGTTACCTGAACGAAATTTGCTGAACCATCTTTGACACTTCCGAACGTTCAAAACATTTCCATAAACTTCTTTGATATTCTTTGTAGCTACGGAAGCGTTGTTTCCCATGTATTCAAACAACATTACATGCCGAATGTATGTCTCGTCGTGTGCCATCACTATAAGGGATTACAGTATACTAAACTTTACACATTATATAGGCTACACTAACGTGACGTTTAGGCGGTTCGTTTGACTATTATACCTGATGTACGTTTTTTGGGGGTGGTTAATGAAAGTGTTCCAAAACGTGACATTAATCTCTTGACGACCTAATATATATATATATCTTTCAATGTATTTCAGGATAGCTATACTTTCATAAAAACAAAAAAATCACTAAACCTTTATGTACATAGTGTAATTATTCATTACTTCAAATGAATGTGTGATAACTCAATAATGTTACTTTCAAGTAGTTGAAACTGGGAAGGGAATTTCACTTTTTTTTTAAACAAAACACTATGTCTTTGTTATTCTCTGGTGTTGTGCCTGCATGCAGCTGTTGACGATCATGACTTTCCATTTCTCCTTCTCTCTGATATTCTTCAACAATCTTGTCTTGTAATTCATGACTCCTAACCATTATGTGATTCTATCAAGCATCTTTATTCTTTGTCTATCTTTCATTTTATCTTATCAGTTGTTACTGTGTGCCCCATTTTTTCTTTCCTTCCATTTTATCAGTTGTTACTGTGTCCCATTTATTCTCTCCTTGTATCTTACCAGTTGTTACTGTGTCCCATTTATTCTCTCCTTGTATCTTATCAGTTGTTACTGTGTCCCATTTATTCTCTCCTTGTATCTTATCAGTTGTTACTGTGTGCCCAATTTGTTCTTTCCTCATGTTTATGATGATGTGTTGATTTATACCACTTGCATGTTCTTTACTTTTCTTCTTAGTCCTTGCTGTTCTCAGCTTTCTTTTTAAGAACCATATTTGGGTTACAGTTAAGCTTTGCTATGTTATAGGTCAGTCTAAAAAAGGTAAATTTGATGCAAGATGGTGTTTATATTATAAGGTTAATGCAGTATAATATGTTAAAATATAAGTTACAGATATTATTTCAATGTACTAGAAAAAAAAAAGATCAATGTAAAAGTAATTATTTGCACGCCTTAGTAAAATCCATTTTGGTACCAGTCAAAAATGCATTAAAACAGACTTCTGCCAAAAAAATGTGTTGTATAATTCAATGTACAAGAAAGTTACACAACTCTAGAAGCACTTCATATTGTGCACTGACAAATTGCCATTTGAAATACTTGCCTGTCATATTGAAAAACCATTAAGTATAGAAATGTTAACCGGTAAAGTTTCAGATTCATCGTATGTTTCAATTTTGGGAAGGCATACCATTTCCTGTGATAGTAAGATATGTTTTAAATATGAAATTATTTCAGTTGAACATCAAATAATTAATATAACAGAAATAACTAACTAGAGCTCAAAGTCATATGCTTATTTGGTCATTTCTCCTCAAAACCTAATAAAAATATTTAACCTGTTTATACATACTTCAAAATATCAAACGTGGACAAAATAATTAACCCACAACTTTCAGCTTTTCTTTTAAAATTGTGGTGTAAAGACAAGTGGACCATTTTTAATATTCACGAGTATAACCTATTGATAGGTAATATTGGTCACATACAAATACATAAAATTGTTTCCTCAGATATGATTATTCATGCTATGAAATGCAGCAATGACAAAATGATACGAGAAGAATTGACCAAGTATGAACATTAGACCCATGGATTTCAAGGATTTCTAAAACAAAGTTTACAGCTCTGAATTCCTAGTTTGATCACCCATGAATTACAAGAACATTTAATGAAATGTGTTGGTAAATTTTTAGTATATAAAAGCCAGTTGTGATGTATGAATAAAATACCCTATACAATTCGTTTAGATAGTGTACTAGTAAAACTTGCAATACTTATTATATCAAAATTTACAGTGAAACACGTGCTTTAGAAGGATCCTGGTTAGTGTGTCAGTAGATATATATTGTGACGTCTCCGTTTGTTAATTAACTTTCTGTAACTTCGTTCCGACGAAACTTAAGCGACACAAGTCCTTTCTTAATAAAACTGGTTTATTATTTCCGCATATAACTTTACCAATACACTTAATCTCAATACTCGCGCTAAAACAACACTGTAACGAACGATCGTTAACTTCAACAATACCGTGTGACTGCAGTTCAATTACTCACTATCTATACACACATTACCTTCCCGCGTCACGTTTTCCCCT